CGGGCCATTCTGCTTGTACTCAATTTTTTATTATAAATTTTTATAACTTTTTTACGTCGGACCTAGGCATGTCCGACGTAATTTTACGTCGATTTTCGTGCCCCGACGTAAATTTACGTCTCCTGCTTCTACGTCAGAAGTTTTTCTGACGTAAAAACCCCTAAAATGACCGACGTAAAATGTGTATTATGTACTAGTGGTTTCACACTTGTCAATTCATTCTTTTTATATTATCTTTAGAAATCGGGTTATATTTCTCTTGTGGGAGTTTTGAATTCCATGTAAGAAGAGTCAAATCTTAAGATAGGTTTTCTTGAGTTCTTAATTAGGTAAGGGAAGGGGCTCCTTAATTAGGCTCTTAACTAAGGATTTCTATGAGGTGGTAATAGGAATGCCTATGATCTAGGATCTAGGTGTGATCTAGTTAAGGTGATCTATAATTACATTCTTGCTTATAGTGTAAGTCTCATAATTTGATAATTGATTACAAAAGGCTAGATGTAACTTTTATGAGGAAAATGGACCGGTGTAAATCCTTGTGTGATTTTCTTCTTCCTTACACTTTTTTTTATATTGCTTTATATATCTTGATATCTTGATTGAATTGTTTCTATGTTCTAAATTTGATTGATAGATATTTAATTCATCATTATGACTTAATCATTTCAAAAGATCAAGAATGTCTTTTTAAGAAACATCTTTAAAGAAAGAGTTTTGCAAAATTCAAAGAAAGGGAGAGTTGCATTGTGAAAAAATTTTGAACACCAATTCAATCCCCCTTCTTGGTAAGTCTTTATTTCAATATCTTCTTCTAACTTTGGTCATTATAGCTAGGGCAGAGTGAATTTCAAATTTATAAAAATTATATTATGACTTGATAGTTAAAAATAATCATATTAGTTAACACTAATGAAAAGAAAAAGAGAGAAATATAATATTATTGATATATTGTTAAATGTCATTTTTACCTAGGTATCATGCATGTTTTAGTTGTAAGTTGGCATAACTTCTTCCCTTTTTCTTTAGAAATGTCCAAGATAGCACAATTTGTTAATATTTTTATACTTATCTCATTTTAATTCAATCCATTTTAATTATATTACTTTTTGATTACATATGGTGAGTGTTGTTTTGTAGGACAAATAGAGAGAAAATTGGATAAAGACATGAGAAGAATGTTGGGAATATGTCTAAATATCTTTAGGAGAATAAATTAAATTTTGATAAAAATATTTTATTTATATTTCAAATATTTAGATTTAATCTGTTTGATTATTTTAGGATTTGTTTCCTTATTTTTAGAATAGGATAATATCAATATTTGATTTTGTATAACAAATTTTCTCTATATATAAAGACTCATGAATAAAATTATATTATGCTCCTCTGATAAAAATAACTCTTATAAAATATTTTCTCAAATAAATATCATAAAATAACCCATCAAAGAAAATTGGAGAGTTGAGCAAATTTGGAAGAAAGAAGATGAAAATAGAATAGCCAAAAATTCGTTCATGTATTTGAACAAAAGCTTAAGCAAATTTAAAAAATAAAAAAAGAAGTCTCTACCTCAAAATTCTCCCAAACACTTGAACAAAAGATAAAGAGAATTTTTTAATGCTTAAGCGAATTCAATTTTTTCACCTTGAAGATTCTTTTTCACTCAAGCGAATTCACCAAGGGTTTAGCAAATCTATGATAATCAAATTGCTGTATTTTGAAAATCACACCAAACTTAAGGCCAAAGGTGGAGAACAAGAGCACTAACTCTAGACTTTGATCATTCTCATCACTTTCTCTCACTCTATCACCAAAGACTATTGAAGTTGAAGATCTTGGAGACGATTCCAACATTTGGGAATGAAAATAGGACATTCTAACTAGACTTTTCTTCTCCCTTTTCTCTCTGTAAGTTGACTCTCATGGCAATGAATATCTAACCTTCTTTTTTTTTTTTGGGATTGAATGTAAACTATCATACTTCATGTGACTCTTGATCTTTATATATGTTATGATCTCTTTATTATATTGTGGTTTCATTTCCATTCTTAAAGCATGTTGATCATTCATAAATTGATTTTAGATTTAGAATTTGATTGAAAAATGTTTTCTAAATCTAAACTTGAAATGGACTGCCTACTAATCTAAGTTAATAAGAATAAAGCTTAGATATGTAGTTTAAAAAAGGTTTTTTTTAATGTTTCTCTCTCTTGAATATGCAAGAAATTTGAATTCAACAAAGAAAAAATCTTTTTTATCAAGGAATTAGTATTGAGTGAATTTAGTAATATTATTGTCCTTTAAAATTAATTTAAGAGAAAAAAGTTGAAATATACTTACAAATTTTAATTTTAATTTATAATTTATAATAATATATAAAGGAAATATTTTCTTGATCTTCTATTAAGACATTCATAATTATATATTATATTTCAATATTTTTTACACTAATTATCTCTTAAAGTAAAATAGAGAAAAAAAGAAGCTATTTACTCTATTAATAATAACTACTCCCTATGAACCTATATATAAGTGAATAAAACTAATTTCTCATAGATTAAGAAAATTCATCAAATATATTTAATTTTCACAATTTCACATAAAATATACATCACATTATAAAATATCCTTAATCATATTCATGGTAGATAATGCTCTTATTTATTATTATAGGAGTATTTTCAAGAGCATTAAATAAAATTGATTTCAATAAAATTTATTTATATTTTAGTCCAAAAAATTTAAGATTTTTTTTCTTATAAATAGATTAGAAGGAGTATTCACTTATTTTATTAGTTTTTTTTAACAAAGACACTTCGTGTCTTTTTTCTTATTAGTATTCATAAAAAACTTCTATTTAAAATTTTTCTTTTACAAATTTCAGCTATTGTGTAAATGCAAACTGTTTCTTCTATAAAAAAAAAACTAAAATTTGAAGATTTTTTTTTCTAAACATGCTTTAATTATGTCTAATTTTGGTCACAAAATAAATTATCTCTTTTAGAATGTTGGTGCTACAGGAGTTAAAATAATATACTCAAGTTGATTAAAATTAATTAGTTCAAACTTAAATTGACTTTCACTCACGAAAAAGTTGTCATACAAAAAGTAACAAGTAATAATAATTATTTTGTAATTCCCATAAAAAAATATTAAACTAATGAAGTAATGGCTAGTGGGGATCACAAGCCTTTCAGTTTCAGTTGCAATTGCACCCCATGCGCAACAAATTTAGGTCATAAACCAAAACGCGCAAATTTTCGGATTATATATCAAAGAAAACAAAAGTTAGGTTTTTTTGGCACCACAAAAGTTAGGTTGTTAAAGCACTGATAATATATTTGTAATGAACCAAATAAAAAAAAACACTGATAATAGGAAAAAATATTTTTTTTTATTTGAAAGAGAAAAATTAATATTAATCTTATAATATATATATATATATATATATAATTTTTATTTATTAAAAAAATTAAATATTAAATATTTTTAAATTTTAAATGAATATATATTTAATTTTTGATTTAATATCTGAGTTACAAATTTATTCAATTACCCCTACTACTTTGACTGTTATATTTAGTAAAGAAGAAAGAAATAGAGAAAAAAAAAAGAAGGAATGAAAATGAAGTAAGAAATAGAGTGAAAGTTAAAATTGTTTGGTAAGAGGGAAGTAAAAGAGATGTGAAAGTGAGATAACTTTTTTTGATTGGCTTATATTAGTTTATATAAAAGAATAAAATTAACACTATCAATTAAATTACACAATTGTCTTTTATTTATTATGAATTTGACTTCAATAAGAGGGCAAAAAAGGAATATATAAAAAAGCTTCCCTTCTAATCCTCTCATATTAGGGGCATGAATTATCAAAAAGCAAGAGAATTCATCACATATTCATGTGGCTTACACTCAAATCTCTTTTACCAAACACACTTAAATAACTAACTTTTACTAATAAATTGTAGATTTGAATGATATTTAGACTCAGTTTCTTTAAGTACTTGAATTTTAAATTTAGAGTGAAAAAAATGTAGTTGAAAAAAAAATCTAATTAAAAGTAACCAACTAAATTTTTCAAAAAAAAAATATTTATCCAAAAAATCAGTAAATATTTTATATCAATAACATGATTATTAAAAAAATATTACCAACTTCCACCCTCTTCCATCTTCTTCCTTCCCCCTCCTTCCAACTTTCATTATACCACTTAATTAGTTTTTAACTAAGTATATTGTATCAGAAGATATAAATTCTTAGACACTTTAGAATGTGTGTGTGTGTGTGTGTTTTTTTTTTATTTTAAAGATTTGCTTAATGTAGTATTTAAATTCCAAGTGAATAAGAGAGAAACAAAATAAGAGAGAAAATGAATAAGAAAAATAGAAGTAGCCGAAAACTAAAATATGTGTCATTTAAATGAATAAAAATAAAAATAAGAAAATGAAGAATTTTTTCCCCACTTATTTGAATGAATAATTGAGAGATTAAAAACAAATAAATGATGTAAATAGCTTTTCATATTAATTAAAAATAAATTCAACTTGACAAATTTAATTGCCATCTGTCAATCAACTGAAGCTGGATCCCAGCAATTGAAAATTAAACCGCATGGAATGCGGTTGTCAATCTAGGGATGATTTCATCATTTGGAGAGAGTTTTTATGTTTTTTCTAAAAGCAAAAATAAGTCGCGAGACTTCACTTAATCATTTGATTAGAATTCAAATTTTAACTCTTATAAATACAGAAAATTTAAATTAAAAAAATCTAATTATCTAATTTTCCGTTAAGCTGTCAAAAAAATAATAATAATTTTGATATTCAATGAAAAACTCCTTGGTAGTGATTGAAAAAAAGAATTTCTCGTATGGTAAATTAAAAAGGAACATTTTAAAATTGTAGGATCTCTGGAGTTAAAAATTTAAGATATAAAACATCTTGGTACAAAATCAATTTGATTATTCAATTGATTTAGTTATTCTATGGTTAGTTGTACCAAATTAAAAAGAGAAAAAAATATGTTTCTATGTCTTCTCTTTCCAATGTCACTTCATCCATGAAAATCTAAAAAGGCCATGTATGCTTTCGATTTATCCGAGTCTTTCTGTCATCTGATTCATGTATAGCTACTAATCTGAATGATCTGAAGTAACTCGTTTGATTTGGCAAATCAACCTCAACATTCGTTAAGGCTAAAAAGTCAATGGTTGTGGGGATACCTTTCCTTGTCCTATTTGCATCCACTTTGAGTTTAGCTTTTCTACTCTCAAAATGGCTCTCAAAAAGTCAAACAAAAAATGTTCCAAAAGGGTCTCTGGGGTACCCTATCATCGGAGAGACACTTAGTTTTCTTAAAGCACAGAGACAAGACAAGGGTTCTGATTGGTTGGAGGAACGGATATCTAAGTATGGTCCTGTCTTCAAAACCTCTTTAATGGGGTCCCCTACAGTGTTTGTTATTGGACAAGCAGGAAATAAATTTGTCCTTGGTTCACCACAAGATGTGCTTTCTGCTAAGAAACCACTCACCCTACAAAAGATACTTGGAAGGCAAAGCTTAGTTGAACTTACAGGACCCAGGTACCTAATCTTCAACTGTAACTCGGTTGTTTGTTTAAATGTTTGGATGAAATGTCAAAATAATCCTTATATGATGATGATTTTGATTCAAATCATGACAATTTGAAATAAGGGGTTTTATGTCTAGATGGATGGATAGTTAGATAATGGATGAGAGATTTTGGGATGTTAGTAGTAGTTGGATAACTCATGACTGTAATATAAGCACAGTTGTAAAGGGAATTAATTGCTGGTTGTTCTTGTTTCAAATTTTGATAGAAATGATTTTGAAAGAGATGGTTAAAAGGATTTATTTGTGTTTGGGAAGGATATTTTAACAGTGAGTTTAAAAGACTTAGAGTTTGTTTTACATAATTTTTTTCAAAAGTACTTTTAAGAAAGAAAAATAGAAAATAAAAACTTTAAAAATAAAAAAATATATTTTTTATAAGTTAAAATTATTTTGTATACAAATTTATCTATAGAAACTTTCTTTTATTAGTTTCTCTCTCTCTTTTTTTTTTTTTAACTTATAATAAGTTAATTTTAATTTATAGAATAACTTATTTTGATTTTTCTTTTTATTTTTATCTTTTAGAAGTATTTTTGAAAAGGTTTTTCCAATCAGATTCTTAATTTTGTCTGAACAGTATAGTAAAATCACTTCACATTTGCAGGGCTCATGCCCAAAATGAATTCATTTCAAAGGAAAATTTGATTAGGCAATAGATCATCAAGTGTAAATATAGATATATTTGCAGGTCTCACTGCAGAATTTGATTTTCATCCACCTTGATTCTCACTGTAACCAAACAGGCTCTAGAGTATAGATAATCTGTTTTGAGGCTGTGTTAATGTTTCATGCAGGTACAAGTTAGTCAAAGGGGAAATGATCAAATTCTTGAAACCTGAATGCCTCCAGAACTATGTCAAAAAGATGGATGAATTGGTGAGTGCTACATTACTGAGAGAATTCAGAGAGAATGAAGCAATGGGAGTTGTGGTCTTCATGAAGAAACTTTCCTATGATATAGCATGCAATATATTGTTTGACATCAAGGATGAGTACACAAGGGAGGCTTTGTTTGAAGATTTTACTTTAGCATTCAAAGCAATTCATTCTCTTCCCATCAATTTCCCTGGTACCACATTTTGGAAAGGCCAAAGGGCCAGGGCAAGAATTGTTGATAGGATGCTTCCTATTATGAACAGAAGAAGGGAGGAACTGTCAAAGGGAGTTCTAAGCTCTACTAATGACATGCTTTCTTGTCTGCTTGCACTGAGGGATGAAAATCACCAACCTCTAGCTGATGATTTAATTACTGACAACTTTATTTTCTTGTTTGTTGCTAGTCATGACACATCTGCCACTCTTATGAGCTTGATGATATGGAAGTTATCTAGAGATCCAGAGGTTTACAATAAAGTTTTAGAAGGTACTACTTCAACTTACTGTTTAGATTATCCTAGTGTGTGCCATTCCTGTGTCCAAAATAAAAAGAGCTAGATATAGTCCTTTGTTTGCTTTGCTAAATTCTTTTTAAGTTTAACTTTTAAACACAAAACATTTAACTTGTTTCCCATCACACTACACCCAATAAAAACCAGAGAATTCTAAACACCAGTTCGAAAAAGGTTCTGGTCTACATTTTACCTTGAGCCATTACCATTTCTGTAGCTTAAGTAGTTCCACTATTTCACCAATGCCCAATTTCTTTGTGTTAAATTGAACACAATTTCTGACCTTCCCAAATTATCCATACAACTGAATACCACACTGTTTGCCAAAGATTCAATACCCTTCATAGATATGACAACAAGTACCTAAACAGTATTAAATGACCTTTCCCCTCCTTGTGTAACACTCCCTTTAATTCCCACAATTCCAAACCGTGTAAAATGAATCTGATTTTTAAGATAATTATTGTATAAATTAATAAATTTATTATAGTGTTGTTATTAGATGAGAGTGTGTGAATATACTATTTTGCTCAATTCTTGTATATGTAGAACAAATGGAAATTATAAAGCAAAGGGAAGGAAAAGAAGAGAGGTTAACATGGGCAGAGTTACAAAAGATGAAATACACATGGAGAGTTGCTCAGGAATTGATGAGGATGATCCCTCCCTTGTTTGGCAGCTTTAGGAAGGCACTTAAAGATACTAACTACGAAGGATATGACATACCAAAAGGGTGGCAGGTAATATTTTCAACCTCAAAACTTCATAAATTATTTAATGAATTTAAAATTTAAATCTTTTAAATATAAGATAAATTTATTTTTAATCTCTTAAATTTAAAATTGATATTTTTACTCCATATAATTTCAAAAATATTATTCTATTCCCTTTGTCTAAATGGTATTAATGAATTTATCAAATAAAACTCAGTTATGTGAATATCATTTTTTTCTCAACTGATTCATGGATAAAAAATGTTATCGTTAAATTTGTTGTATTTAATGAAAATATCATATTAAATCTAGTTAATGGAATGTAAATATTTTAATTTGTCATTAATGATCTTGAAAGATTAAATTTTTCTTTTTTAAATTACATAAACTAAAAATGTTAATTTTAAATTTGAAGAATAAAAATAAATTTTCACTAATTTTTTTTGGACAAACTTCAATGTTGATTTGGTTTCTTGTTGTAGGTGTATTGGGCAGCATATGGAACACATATGAAGGATGATATATTTGAGGATCCACACAAGTTTGATCCATCTCGTTTTGAGAATCCACCCAAGCCAATTCCACCTTTTTCTTACCTTCCATTTGGTGCAGGGATTCATTATTGCATAGGAAACGAGTTTGCTAGGATTGAGACCTTGACCACTATTCACAACTTTGTAAAATTGTATGAATGGTCTCAAGTAAGCCCAGAGGAAGCAATTACTCGTCAACCAATGCCATATCCATCCATGGGTCTCCCAATTAAGATCAAACCCAGATGTAGCATGTCTTAAACTTCTTGTTATTGCTATTATTCTCTCTTGTATATTCTTGATATATAGCTCTTTCTTGTATTTATTTCTATCCATAAAAATCAATCTTGGTACGAAAGATTGACACATATTGTTTCAACTAATTGAGTTAAACTCATGTAACTCTCGGACACAGACAAATCTAGAGGAGAGCAGACAGGATCTTTACCCTGTTCCCATAGGAATTTTTTTTAATATTTATTGGTAAATATAGAGTATAATTTGGTGTAAAATTGTTTGAATTATAGCTTTAACTGAAATTTTTGTATGACAAACTTTTAATAAACACAGTGAGACTGAGTAATTAATATCGTGAAATTCTAATAAGTTTTTTTTTTAATTTTTTTTATTGAATCTAATAAGTTTATATTGATTTAAAAATGAGATATTACAAAATCTTTTTTTTCCTTCTTTTTCATTTACTTCTCTTATAAATAATTTTTTTTTTCATTTTTTATTTTAGTACACTTTCATTTGCCCTTCTCTTCTCTTCACTCATTCTTACATATAAGTTTTTAAAGACAGTGTCATTACATACATCGAAAAAGTAATATTATTTATTACTCTAATTGTTTACACTATCTTGTTCGTGACTTCAGCCAATTGCGTTGACACTTATTACATGTAAACTTTAATTAATATTTGAAGTTAAATATTTAAATAAGATTTAAATATGTTGTTAATTTTTATAAAATTAGTATTTAGTTTTGATCTTTATAAAAAAAGTTATTTGTTTTTCATCTCTATAAAATTAGAACTATTATTTTTAGTCTATGTTTTTTATGTGATTATTTTTAATTATTTTTTTATTTATTAAAAATTTAAGTAACTATCTTATATAATACTTACAATCATTATTGATATCATATTAATATTTATTATCTTTTAAAAAAATTATAAATTCTTAAAATGAATGTTATTTATTTATCTTAAAATAACTATTAAGAATTAAAAATAATTAGTTTTAATTTTAAAGAGATGAAAATAAAAAAAAATATATTATAGAGATTAAATTTAAAATTTACTAATTCTACAAGAAACAAAAATAATATTTTTAAATTTTAAAAAGATGAAAAATAAAAAAAAATTACATAGACCAAATAAAAATATTTATTTTACGAGATTAAAAATATATTTAAATCACTAAATAATTATATATGACTCAGTATATAATTCATGTGACGGTTGGGTTAACATTAAGAACAATGTCTTAATATTAGTTTTCTCACTACAAAAAATTATGTAATTAATAGCGGTTATTTTCTGGCGGTTTCAATAAACCGCTAAAAACGGTTGTAGTTCTAGCGGTTATTATAACCGCCACAAAAGATTAAATTTTTAGCGGTTTAAGACCGCCACAATGTTTAAATAACTATATATTGCTCTGCCACCTCTTTATGTCACCACGTAACCAATTTAATTAAAATATTTTTTTATTGTTAAAAGAATAAAATTAAAAGTTAAGAACTTAAATTCAAAACTCTCTCTCTTTCTCGCACTTCTGTGACTTTTGAAGCGCTCCAAATCGGAAACAAAGCTCTTCTTCGCATTTTTGGATCACTTTTTCTTCGATCATCTCTCTCTTCCTTCAGCGTTCGCCCCTACTAACTACAACCCCTTTTCCACGCGAAAATCTCAGTCTAGGGTTCTCACAACTTATAATCCCTCAATCTTTTACTTTTATGCTTTAATCATGATTTTCTTTTTCGTAGTTATAATTATGACTTAAATCAGATTGTTCGATTTTCCTTTTTTCTCTCTTCTCAAGGATTCTGGAACACTTTGTGATCAATGAAAATGGATTTGGTGTTTGGTTACAAGGTAATTTTGTATCTTCTTTGTTGTCTCTCTATTTTTGCGGATGCATAACTCGATTTATTGATAAACGATTGTGGGGATTTTGTTTAATTAAAACCTTGGTCATTGTAGCTTTTACGATTATTACTCGTCAATGCTTAAGTTATAGATAAGATATATAGCCGCACTAGTTTCTGAGCTGGTTCGATAAACTAGCTGAGCTTTTA